CTGTTTGGACTCTCATTCTGACGGCACCCATTCACTTCAGAGCATCCATTGATGAGTAAGTGATGTAATGATAACTGATTCATTCATTTTATTTTGTCACTACTAGTCCTCAATATTCAAGCCATATTTAGTGTCTCAGTATGTCTTTACAGACATATGATAAAGTGGTAAACAAAGGATATATAAAACGGAGGTAGTTCTCTTTAGCTTTATTGCTTTGGATAAACACTAACATGTCGTACCTTGTGTTAAGTTGGCAGAAAGTCACTTCACATATTCCCTGCAACTAAATAATTCATATTCTATCTCTGTGAAGTCTTTAGTTGTTGTCATGAGCAGTTTCTTACATGGCGGCGGAGAGTGCTGTTGAACAGGGCAGCGCTGGGCAGCTCCTCCAGCTCTCCAGGACTTCTTGTCAGGATGGAGCTGGATGTGACAGGATATTTCCATGGCGGAAAATATTTCAGCTGGCTTACTGTCAAGCGGGGAGCCCAGCTTGCTGTAATGAGTGTGTTGTACGGCCCAGCGGTGGGGATACGGCTCAGAGCAGCGGCGCAGTACTGTGTTTGCTGTTTTTGTTTGAGTCATTTTGTGGCCTGCTGTCATGTTAAAGAAATAGTTCATCTTAAAATTGAAATTCTGTCATTACTTAGTCTCATATGTTGAATCAAATGGACTACTTTTGTGTTTTTTTTTTCTGTGGTGCTTTTTGGATCAGATTTTATTTTAGGGCTATTTTTATTCTTAAATTTAAATTTTTTCTTTTGGTCACCAAGGCTGTATTTATCTGTTAAAAAATACAGTAAAAACAGTATTATTGTGAAATATTATTACAATTTAAAATTTTGTCTTCTGTCTTAAAATATTTTAAAATTTAATTTATTTCTGTGATGCAAAGCTGAATTTCTCAGTCCTCAGTGTCACATGATCTTTCAGAGATCATTCTAATATGCTGAAAATAGTGCTATTTAATATTTTGTGGAAACTTTTTTAAGGCTCTATGATGAACAGAAAGTTCAAAAGAACAACATTTATTTTAAATTGATTTTTTGTAACATTATACATGTCTTTAGTGTCAATTTTGGGCAATTTAATGTTCATTTTCATTACTTGAAATAAAATAAATGTTAAATGAAATAAAATAAAATAAAATATAAAAATGTTTTTATTTCAGCTGTTTGCCGTGGTACCATTTTTTTTCATGCAATTTAACTTGTACTGAAATAACTAAACCTGAAATAATAAAAAAAATTATGCTAGGTTAAAAAAATATTATGCTATAAATGCTGGGTTAAAAACAACCCAACTTGGGTTATTTGGCAACCCAGCGCTGGGTAAATATTGGACAGAACACATGCTGGGTTATTTTGACCCAGCTGGTTGGGGTATACATTTTTACCCACCATGCTGAGTTGTTTTATTTAAGTCATCTATTGTTTAAAAATTATTATATTGCTGGCTTAAAATGAGCTGGAAATTAAATTAAATTAATCACACACAGAATTACTATAGGCAACAGCAATAATCAAACGATGAACATTTATTATTAACAAAAACACCCATGGACAAAATACAAGACAAATTGAATGCGTTTGGGTGAATACAGCATAGTTTACACAATTACATACATTTAAACTCGTTTAACAAGCATTTTAGAAATAAAAAAGGCAAATTTAAAAGTAGCATTTTAATTTAAGTGTACACTCAGAAAAAACGCTGGGTTGTTTCAACCCAACTTTGGGTCAAATATGGACTACCCCACCTTTT